AGAGCCTTTTGCACAGCCTGAAAAGGTTGAGCTTCAGTCAGGTAGTTTACTAGGTATTGAGTATTGATCAACTTACCCTTTCACTTTCGGAATCCAATGCGCTGGTGGCCTCATCAAGTAGCAGGATCTTCGGATCTCGCACTAGTGCTCTGGCAATAGCAATACGTTGTTTCTGACCACCGGAGAGTTGTGTGCCCTTCTCGCCGACCTTGAAAATCAAAAAGTCAATAATTACGGGATTCTGATTCTGCAGAACCGTATGGCGAGGAGAGGAGTTGAGTGCTTGTTGTCTGTTCATGTCCACTACCGTACTCTTCAGCCAATCAGCAAACCGCATAATGCACAATAGCTATATCGTCTTTTGCAGCTGTTCAACATTTCCTTTTTTAGGTTTGTGAGGTTGTTCAGTGATCATTAGTCACACCTCTTACCGTTCCTCTAGCCAATCAGCGTTTTAATGACGATTGATTTGAATATTTTACCTCTGTGTCAAGTCCTGCAGGTAAATTAGCCATAAAACGCTTAGCATTTGCAAGTTCGAGTGCTTGGTCGATTTTCTCCATTGTAACCTAAATCATTTTCTATTGTCACTGATCTTTCTCATGTTATCAATCATCATCAATCAATATACTTCTCCAAGGCCGAAACAGATGTTCTGCTTGATGGTTCCGGCGAATAAGCGCGGCTCCTGACCAACTAAAGCCATTTGCGTACGAAGGTGATTTAGCGAGAGTGTCTTGATGTCTTTCCCGTCAAAACGCTAAGAGCAATTACGTCATGAATTTATGGAATTTGGTCAAAAATTATTTTTCTTACCACATGACCACCGTTAGTATCATAGAATCGTTCCAGCATTGAAATAATGGTGGATTTTCCAGAACCAGATGGTCCAACTAGTGCTACAGTTTGGCCTCTTTGAGCTGAGAATTGCAGACCACGCATTACTGGTTGGCGTGGACGTTGGGGATAGCTGAACTTCACGTCTTCAAACATGATATTGCCACGAATTTCCTGGAATCATGCGAAAACTCGTACAAATGGGCAAAGGTGCGCAATTGTGGGCAGAGCCTATACACTAACCGCTTTCTCTCCCAGTTCTGCGTTACCAGTTTTTGGTTTACGGTAGATCATGCTGAATAGGAGACCAGCGGCTGTACGAGCTTTGACGAACTCGGGAAAGTAGGCGGATGAGTTCATTACGGCCACAGAACCCAGTAGCATAGCAATGATGCATCTATAATGACATTTTGATAACAGCGCTCCTATTGATTTATTGATTTTCAAGGTTTTAACCTACATGAATACATCATCCGACGTCTTATCTCCTTTGTAGATAATGTGAATACCAAGAGCATAGCATACACACACCATGATGTAGGTGAACGACTGTGAAATTGTGAAGTTTATTCCTTCGAAAATTCCTAAAATCAACTAGTTTACCGAGCATTGTAAAATGGTTAATGAATTCGTTACAAGACCAACCTTTGGTCAGCTCAGATCGCTTTTGATGTTTGCTAGCGCTTTCGTAGCGTGTGTAGAAGTGCGAGGTTCGAGTGAGTAATTGTATTGTGCGAACATTTTCGATCGTTTCGATAGCAAGCTAAAAGTCAAGTATAGATTTTCAGATTTTAAGTATTGCTAGTGAAAATAGAAATAGCAAAGAATTTCTAACTTTCGAGTCATCCAAATTACAAAATTATGGCGCGAGAACTAGTCCCTGCGAAGAATCCTGACATGCTGAGAACAAACAATTGAAAAGCAAAATCAACGCATCTCTTATTTTTTGCACCAACTTGCCAATCCAATCTCGGGGACCAGTTCTCGCTCCAAAATGTGTCTCCA